GGCAGACGCCCGCGGCCATGAGGCCGGGGCGGGTCATGCGGCCCAGCCTCTGCACAAGCACAACTCCTGCCCCCAGGGCCCAGGCAGGACGCCCAGCCTGGAGGACTGCCTGGTCAGGAGACCCAAGGGCTCTGGACAGATGCTGCAGCCCTGTGGGTGCCCATCCCTGTCTGCTGCTCCCTGTGCAATAACTGCTGGGCCACCTGCCCACCCACCACCAGGCTCTGCCCACTGTGTGTAAAGGAGGGGCAGCCCCTGGCTTTCCTGCCCTAAGTCCAGGCTGGGCCTGCCCTGGGGATAGTGGGAGGGGAGCAGCCACTGTAGCCCCCTCCCCAATCTGTGGTAGAGCACAGGCCTATGCCCAGCATAGAACTGCCCATTAGGAACCTCTGCCAGCCACTCTGGCATAGCACAAGGGGCTGGGGTCAGGCCCCCTGCTCCACTGTAACCCCCAGAATATAAGCTATCAAGAGTATTAATTTATTGGGAATGAGCTGAGGCAGATTTCCCCAGAGAAACAAAAAGGTATAACTTTAACAAATATATATTTAAAAGAAAAAATATTATTGATTCTATAGAAACCATTTACCAACTGCAAGGACACTGGAGTCTTGCTCGACAAAAGCTGTTAGAGGCCCCGGCCACTGTCTGTCCTTCCTTCCTTCCCTCCATACAAGACCCTAGGCCCAGTAGCACAAACAGGAAGCTGGGGTCTGGGGAGGGGTCTGTGCTCCACCAGGGCCTCCTCTGCCCTCTCTCCTAACTTCTCTATGTCTGAAGAACTCGAAGGATGTGCCTTGCTGCTGGGCTGTGTCCTCCATGCCCTGGAGACTGTGGGGAAGGCTCCCTCCTCTCTAGGGGGTGCTGATGAGAGGGTCAGCTTGGGCTTCGGGGAGCTGTGTGCACAGAGTGAATACATGGGCACAGCTGGGTGTCAGCAGTGGGCGCAGGGCATGCATGCCAGGCTGTGTGAGGGTGTGCCTGACCCTCCCTCCCCAGGCCCACAGCAGGCGGCCAGCCCACCCCTACTCGAGTTCCCATGGATGCTTCTGCTCGTGGTCCAAGGCTGTGTCGTGTGGTCGTTCTCACCCTCTCTTTCCTCTTCCCTCGCCCCTCCAAAAAGTACTGACTGGCCTCTATTGTGTTTGCTGATCCACGTGTGTTGGGCACAACTTCTGACATTTCTTAAAAAAAAAATTTAAAAATGCCGAAAACCAGCGATTGTGATGTGGGTGGGTAGAGGGGGTCAGCCAAGGTGGCGTCTGGGCATGTGAGGCCCCATCCAGCTGTCATGCCATTATGCTTCCCCTAGTGGATAGCCAGCACCTGGCCATCTACCTGACCTTTCAGTGGGTGGCCCAGGCTGGGGCTCCAGCAGGTGGGGAGGGGGGTCTGGGCAGGGAGCTCTTGTCAGCTGTCAATAAACAGCAGAAAATGGAGCTGCCTGGCTCACTTTTTGAGGGTGTTGGGGAGAGTGGTGGGCTAGCCTGTTCCTGGCAGGGAGGGGAAGTCACTGAGAGGGCTACATCCTGGGGTTGACAGACAACAGGAGCTCCTTTGTGGCTCTCCTCACCCTCCCACTGGCTGCTGGTGCCTGGGCACACCAGTGTTCTTGGGTGGCTTCTCCCTTATCCCAGGACTGTCTCCACTCATAGCCACAGTCTGTGCAGCTTTTATTTCAAGGAAGAAGTAATCAAATCTATGTACAGTCTAAAAACAGTAGAAAAGGTGAGTAAAAAGGCCCCAAAGTCCATCGGGTGGGGACGGAGGGTGGCCCAGGTAAGCATTATACCTGGAGTGTTGATAGAGGGGCTTGGCACCATCCTGGCAGCAGTGATGACAGAGCCAGGCAGAGGGAGGCTCGCAGGGCGCAAGGCGGGGGGAGAGCACTGCCTGGCCAGCTAAGCCTGCCTGCCTGTCCCTAGTGGGTGGGCAGAGACCCATGTGGCCAGCCTGGCTTGGATAGTCCTAGGGCAGGCCCAGAAGAAGCCAAAACCTGGCCTGGATTCTGCTAGCAAGTCCAAACCTGCAGAGGAAGGGCTCTATTTCAGGTGCCCCTTGGGCCATCCTGCCCTAACACCACCTGCCACCCATACCTGCCCTCCACTGTCACCCACCCAGGGCTGCTGGCTCCTCGCCCCCCAACCCCTGATCCACTTATGCAGGCAGCCCCTTTGGATGACCTGAGCCACAGCACTGACCTTCACAGTGCTGTCCACAGCCCCCGAGAAGAGCCGGCCCCGGGACACAGCCAGAGCTGTTACACTGCCTTGGTGACGCAGCAGGGTCTGTGTGCAGATCATGTTGTCCATACTCCAAACCTGAGGGCACATGGGATGTGAGGACCTGCCTAGGCCTGGCCACAACCCTGAGCCTTCCACTGTTACCAGGCCAGCACACACCCTGAGAGATCGATCATAGGATGCACTGAAGACTTTGGTCTGGTCTGGCGTCGAGATGACTGCCAGGGCATACACGGTGCCAACGTGGCCTGTCAGGGTCCGTACCTGCTCCTTGGACTCGATGTCCCACACCTGAGGTGATGGCACAGGCAGGTCAGAGATACAGAAAGGGTTGGACAGGGACCCACAGTCAGACCGTGCCCCTAGGCATCCGCCCTTACGTGGATGAGGTTCTCATAGGTGCCACAGACAATGTGGTGATTCGTCACAGCAATAGAGTACACACTGCCACCAGATGTCTGCAGGACATGGATGCAGTCGAGGGTTCGAATGTCCCAGATCTATGGGTAATCACAGGCCACTTGGTCCCAGGCCAGGTGCCTCAGTATCACGCCCTCTGGGGCTCCAGACACAGTGGGCAGCCTACTCCCCACCCAGGGTGTATGTAAGGATCTCCCTGCCCTGGCAAGAACAAGGGCAGGGCAGATACAACCCTCAAGAACAGGGAGGGGCCCTGCCACTGGGAGTGTGGCACAGGGGTACCTTGATTGTCTGGTAGGAGCCACTGTACAGGTAGCTCTGGGCAGCCACCAGGGCCCGCACCCAGTGATTGAGGCCCGTGAGCTCCTTCTTCAGCTTCAGCTCAGTGCCCACAATGTCCCAGACCTGTGAGGATGGCTGTGAGCATGGGCTAGACAGCCAGGCATCTAGCACCCCGATGCCCTCACATGCATGCACACAGCCTTGCCTGACCTTGATGGCCTTCAGGGAGCCACTGAAGAGCATGTTGTGCGAGGAGACCAGTGTGCACACTGGGTTGTCATGGGCCCGGATCGTGTTCACCTTCTGCAGGTTCTGGATGTCCCACACCTGATGGGAGGGAGGACAGGAAACCTCACGCACCAGCCCTGCCACTCTATAAGCCCAGGCCCCAGGAGCACAGTATGCCTAGGGCTCCCAGATACTGATGCAGCCTGTCCCCTCCCACAGGCCCCACTCACGATGATCGTGCAGTCTGCTGAGCCGCTGTAGAGCTTGCATCTGGGGAAACAAAGCCAAGGTGTCAGGGTGGGAAAAGCCACCATTCTCACACTGCCTTACAGGCCAAGGTAGCATGGGCCACTAGGAACCAGCAGTTTGGGCCAGTGCCAGGGCTGCTTCTGCTTCTTTGAGCCCAGCTTCAGTATTCCAGTCTCAGTGAGGGGACCATAAAAGTGGAAGCCCAAACCCTTGTGCCTGCCTGGCAAGCATCTGGCAGCTGAGCTGGGAGGTAATTATCTCGTTAGCGCTGCTGGCAGGCAAGCTGCTGCTTCCTGTGCATGAACATCTCACTTTCTCACACATAAACATATACACACACACTGATGCCCACGACACAACGTCTTATGACACAAGACAGGAGAGAAGGTCTAGAAGGGAACACCCTGGGGGCAAGGGGGTGGCTGGGCCGGCTGCTCCGTAGTCCTGTTCTCAAGCTGTGCTCAAGCCAGAGATAGCTGAGCTCCTGCCTCTGCTCTCTGATGTTCCACCTCTGTCTTCTGACTGCCTGAAGCACACCAGGGCTATACTTTGCTAATGTACATCAGAGATGGAGGGCCCATATGCCACCACCCAGAGACCCAGCTCTGCCCAAGGTCGAGAGTGCTTCACAGGAGGGGCACACACAGCCACATGACATATGTGGCCACAAAAGCTTGAGCTCACAGCCCACAGGGCAGCGGCACAGGGTCTCTTATCTTTGGCTCTACATGGACCCTGTGGTCAGTGGGTGCACATGCGCCTGCACTCACCCCTGAATGCAGAGTGCCAGCACAATGCCATCATGGCCCTCCAGCGTCTTCTGGCACTTGTAGGTGGTACACGTGTCCCATACCTGCAGAGACCAGGGTTAGGGTGGGTCCCAGCAGGATCAGCCAGGTGCTGGGGTGGCATGGTGGGAATGAGGAAGCAAGCCATCCTCAAGGAGAAAGCCCTGCCCATGGGAGGAAGCCCTATGCATGGGCAGAAGGTAGCTGGCAGAGCTGGTGTGCAGTACCCACCCTCACCCTGCCAGGCTGCAGAGCTCCCTAGGCAAGACCCTGCCCACCTTGATGGTCTTGTCAGAGGAGCCGCTGAAGAGCAGGTCCCCCATGGAGTAAACGCAGAGACACCAGACAGGGCCCTGGTGGCCCACGAAGGTTCCTTTGCATTTGAAGATCTGCTGCGGGTCATAGGCTGCAGAGACAGGAGGAGCTGGTGAGGGACCTGGGGGGGGCCTTGGTGACAGTGGTGGGAGTGACAGTGGGCTTATACTCACATCCTAGGATGCCCATGTTCAGCCGTGCATTGATATGGGACAGCTCATCCTGCAAGGCCAAGAATGGAGGGCATGATGGCTGTGGCTCCACAGTCCCCCGCCCGCGGGCCTGAGCTGGGCTGGGGCTGGACAGGTACAGCAGCAGCCCTCCCCAGCAGATACCTAATCTTGAGCAGGGCAAGCCTCTTGCTGGGGCCCAAGCTGAAGGACAGTCCTGTGTCCCCCACCCCACCCAACCTTTCTGCATCTGTCCTTCACCCACTCACGTTCAACATGGACGCATCCCTCCGGAACTCCATGAGGTCCTCGCTGAGCTTGCTCTGGTTTTCATCCAGGACATCTGGTTTTCATCCAGGACATGAGAGGGTGTCAGGGACCAAGAGGAGGGGCTGAACCTCCCTGCCCCCTCTGGGCTGGGCCCTCACCGAACTTGAGCTCTAAGCTCTTCTCCAGCTGGTCAATCTTCTCTGAGAGCTTGCCCAGCATGGAGCGCAGGAAGGCGATCTCCTGGTCCTTCTGGGCCAACGCCACGTGCATCTCATGGAAGCGGTCATCCGTCTGCTGCAGAAATTCCTTCAGGCCCTCAAAGCGGCAGGTCTCCAGGTGCGTCTCATATGTGTCCTGGTTGCCAATGAATGTGCACCTGGAGGGACAGGATGGCTGCCTGCTCCTCTGTTCACCTGCCTGCCCAGCAGGACCCTTCCCTTTGCCTCCCCAATCCCACGAATCTCTCGATTCCCACTTTTGTGCCCACTGCACCTTAGGTAGGCTACCATCCTCTCCACACCTGCATGCCCAAGCATCCATCCTGCTCCCACCAGTACCCAGCACCCAGTGGGCCACTTTGCAAGGGATATCCAATCACTGGGCTCCTGCTCAAAGCTCTTCAAGGGCTCCTCCACACCCCTCATCGGCCTGCCTCCTTTCCCACCCTCACCTCCCCTCTGCTCCCAACACTGGCCCTTTGCTCAAGTCCACCCCTGCCAGTCCAGCTGCCGGAAGCCCTTGCTCTGGTCTTTACCCAGCTCATGCCCACCCATGCGTTAGTTCTCAGCCCACAACTTCCCTGACCACCCCCAACTCCCCAAGTGTTCCATCCCCTCTGTGTTCCCATGGGGCTCGGGTCTCTTTCGCGGCACCTGTACCTCAGTTTGTAATTACATAGTCGACGGTGTGGCTCCTGCTAAGATCCGTCTCCCCAGAGACCCTGGCTGTCTCCCCAGCACCCAGCACACAGGTGGATCTCAACAAAGGTTTGCTGAAGGAGGGACTGTGAATGCCAGCCCAGGCCAACCTGCCCACCCTCTTGCCCACCCACTCCCACCCGGGGACAGCCCCCCACCCCGCACCCACCC